CCACCCCTGACCAGCTCCACATCCCCGCGGGCAAAATGAACACCCGCGACCAGGTGCTCCTGCCCCCTGCCCCTCCCTCCTCCCGAAACACCCCGGGACTAACTTACCCCCCCAATTTCCCCCATGTGCCCACAGCCTACCCCACTGTCTCTGATGACAAGAACCAGCCCGGTGCCGTGGAGGTGATCAGGGAGTCCAGTAGCACCACGGGGATGGTGGTCGGCATCGTGGCCGCCGCCGCCCTCTGCATCCTCATCCTCCTCTACGCCATGTACAAGTACCGCAACCGGGACGAGGGCTCGTACCCGCCGGACCAGAGCCACGGCTTTGCCAACAGTTCAGCCGTGGAGGGCAACGGCGCCGTGGTCAAGGACAAAAACACGGCCACGGCCTCCGTGGCCATGTCCATCACAAAGGGTAAAAAGAACAAAGACAAAGAGTACTACGTCTGAGAGCGCGGGGAGGGAGGGAAAGGGGGAGGGAGGGAGGCGTTTGGACTGAGACCAGAGGACGAGAGAGAGAGAGAGAGAGAAGTGTCATTTCACTCCCCCGTTTGTCAGTGAAATTCACCTGCCACTAAAAACAGCTGCCGTCTGTCAGTGATGAAACCCTGGTCCACGTCACCAGGTGTGACTCATGTCCACGTCCTGTGCTGCGTCTCCGTTCTCAGATTCAGACTCATCAGTGTTCCTCATTTGTTTCCGTTTGTACCAGCCTGTAGGGGGCGTGTCCACCTCGGCCTTGTATATAGCATGGATCTGGTTGAGTGGAGAAAATCCCGGGACAGATCGGCCTCCACGTTTTCTTTGTACTTCTTTGTAATGCTCTGTTTCAACAAACCTCAGCGTCCCCATAATGACACATGAGGCAGAACAGAGCAATTATTGACTTTTTATGGCCGACGAGCAACGACGAGCCGAGCAGCAGCCACGACCGTCAAAACACTGGGAGGCCAAATTTGGACCAGACGTCATTCCTGCGTGTTAGGTTGTGCACTTTTCTTTTTTCTTAAACAGAAAAAAAAAACCCCGCTCTGCGTCTGCCGTCAGGAGACGGCGTTCAGCTGCTGCTGCTGCTGCAGGATCACACATGAAGCATGATATTTAAATCTTAAAGGAACCACGCAGTCATTCACCTGTCTCTGGCCCAGCGTCCCTCACAGCTCAGTGGACCAGAACCATTCCTCGTGTGAGACATCGGAGTCATCGTGCCCGCGTCGTTCAGAGATCGCAAAATCGTGAACAAGTCTGTCTACAAACGTGAAGGTGTTTCTCCGTGGACGTTTCTTGTATGTACATATAGAGGGCAGCAGAGTGAAGAGGCGTTGTGTGCGTTGGGGGGGGGTGTGGGTGTGAATAATATTAATGTTCCACATGTTCACTCTCCCCCCCCTCCTTCTCTGGAAAAGCGCTTCTTTCACCTCCGGCGGCGCCGCTGCTCAAACTGGTTTCCTGTAAAACTGTTGTTTGGAGGAGAGCGAGCGAACGAGTGAGCGAGCGACCTCAGACTCCTGACCTTCTCCTCTCTGTAAAACTGTCATGGAATACATTTTGAAGAAAAAAAAAAGCACACGTGAATTGTAAACATATCCTGGAGACACAAATATTCCATGTAAAGCAGATGAAACCATGTATGATTTCTCTTTTTTCTATCAGTTACTTCAAAAAAGAAAAAAAAGAGACTCTTCTATCAGACGACCAATGGAAAGGTTTGTGAATTGTATTGATATTTCTCTGATATTTCGATGTATGTTGTTACCACTCTTCTGAAAAACGTCCCACTTTAGATTGCCTTTTACTTCCACAGGAGAAAAGCACACATCCCTCTGATAGCTGCAGAAATGGTTTTGATTTTTTTTTTTTTTTTTTCTGTATTCTTTTCCGGTCCAGATTAATGCAGAAACAGACGAGAGAAGACTTGACTGTGTTGCGTTGTGCTCAGTCTGTGACTCCGTGGATCTGACAGTATAAAACCATCTCCTCTGTTGACTTACGGCCACACTCGGTTCCTTCTCTCTTTTCTTTTCATCAAAGTGCCATTCCACAGGAGCCGCCCGCTGCTCACACACAGACCATTCCTCACTCATTTCTATGATATCGTGTTCATGTGCAATGGATCTGAATATGTGTACAGACCGTGGAGATGAAAATACACTTGATTATATACTTTGTACACACTGGTGTGCTGTGCTTTTCTCTGTAGCCTCCTCAGTACGGATGGGCGGCGATGCATCTGCACGACAGTGATGACCAGGAGGTGGCGGTAATGCAACAGAACGTGGTAGAAACTTTAGCGACACAGGATTAAAAACAGTTCCAGAAAACGTCACAGACACAGGATTAAAAACAGTTCCAGAAAACCATTTCTATCAGACACAAACAGTTCCACTGTCCTCTCACTAAGCCAACGTTCACGTCTGTGTTTTTTTGCAGAGTTTTCAGATGGTCACAGTAGAAATACTCCTCCTCTGGAGAAAACCTGTCAGACATGAGTTCATCAGACACGACTCGACCGCTCTCTGGTGGTTTGTGCTGATTTCACTGAGGCCATCGAGGACTGGCTCCATTTCTCCCTGAAATTCCGAACAGGACGAAGTAGCAGAAATGTAATATACTGTAGGTATTGATCCGTCTCTTTGGGCTCTGAGAATCTTCCGGAATCAAAGTCAGGATGGATTAACTCTGATGTTGATTTTACAGGCCTTATATGTTTGCTAACAGGATAACTCGACCTGTTGAACATGGAGGAATAGTACGTTAAAAAAACCCGTTGTGGGTCAGACGCAGGTCGTGTTCTTTACAGTGGTGTTTCATCATCTGCCTTCTCTGCTCTGTGTGTCTGAAGGTTTAACATGAACTAACTCTCCTTGATGTGAGTCAGGACTAAATTGGACTAAAGTGTTAGACGGGATGAACCCGGTGTCGACCAATCAGAATTCACCAGGAGTTTGTTATAAAATGATGTGGAAATATATGTGGACACGCCCTTTAAATTTTCATGATGAAACTTAGACTGTAGTGTCTGAAAGAAATGGGGTTTTTTAAAGGTTAATAAATGGCCTAAAAGTAGCCCAGAAGCTAAAGGTTAGCCTTATTTCCCCAATATTTACATTAAATTTATATATTTTCCTTATCAACACAGATATCAAATCAACCAATCACAAGGCAGCATTCTACTGCATCTAGGGATGTAAATGTAAGTCTGGAAAATAATCATAAATGGACTGTGTTCTCATTCAGAGGGAGTTAAAAAAAACTCCAGTTATTGACGAACGCTGCGGCTCCTGCTCTGGTGTCGGTGTAAAGATGGCGTGTTGGGAGAGTGGCTCCTGTGAAGAGACCAAATCTGGGGATATTTCATGCTTGGCCACACGCCTCCTTCTCACTTTCCTCACAAACGTGTTAGAGTGAAATATTAAAAAGGATGGAGAGGGTCTTAAATATGCAGGGCAGGTCTCCGTTCTACAGCCTGACTGAATATTAACTGCTGCTCCGTGGTAGTATTTGAGTTTCTGACGGATGGTTTTGTTGCAGCAACAGTTGTGTCAACACAGGCCTCGGCCACTAACGCAAACACAATAATCCGAAAAATAATCCAAGACTAAATTATACTAAACCTCCTCCTGTACTGAGAATCAGTACCAGATCATTTTGGATCACTTGGTACCAGGACAGAAATAATATATATTTTTATTTATTTTATTTTTTTTATGTTAGGCTGCATGACATTTTATTTTGAAAAACAAATCACTTCCGGCCTCATAAAAAACGTCGCATGGTAGCTTCTATAAATTAATAATTATATTGACATTATATATATTTATATATAAATTCTATATGATGCGCTGCTGTGTGTGTTTTGTTGTGTCCGTGACCTCAGCCGCTGGGCCGTGGAAAAATTCTCTTGGATGAAAGAAAGGTGTTTTAGAAGGTTCTATTGTTTATTTATTTTATTTTTGTATTTTATTTATTTATTGGTACGCCTTAACACCCGGTAACAGGGTTGGTGTGGTTTGACTACCACCTGCTGAGAAGACCAGGTACTGTAGGCCGAAAAGGAAAAAAAAAAGGTTTTTACAAACCACGTCGGTGAGAAACTTATAGAGGTTTTGACATTTACAGCCAACTGCGGCACAAACAACAGCAGCAGTCATTTTTTGGGGTTCCGTGTCCGTGGGTGAGGTTGATGAGAACAGGCAGGACAGCGTGGAGAACCAATTCTGTGGCCCAGAGTAGAGACTCGGTGTCACGGCAGGTTAGTGCCTGGTGATCTGTGATCTGAGCTGACACCTGGAGAGGAGGAGTGCGGCTGCAGAATATGATACTCCACCGCTGGGATGTCGATGTCCCCTCTCATCTGCCTCTCTCCTCCTCCACCTTTTTGGTCTGGAGCTGGGACACAGAGCCAGACTGGCTCCAGCAGGACGACGGAACATCACAGACGTCACCTTCAGATCCTGATACAGACTGGCTCCAGCAGGACGAGGATGAAGGATCACAGACGTCACCTTCAGATCCTGATCAAAACATTCAAATGTCTGAAACTGATCCGTTCACACACTTTCTGATTTACAGCATTGTTTTTTTTTTTTAGCCAAATGGCCATGTTGATTAATCTTGGGAATTATGGGTAAATAGGAAAAAAAAATCTTCTCAGAAAATAGTAAACAATACAAATGATTTCATAGAAACTCTTAAATCTCTCATCATGACTGAGTGAAATGACGTAGTGTGGATCAAAATTCAAATTTTAATCTTAAAAATATGAGTACAGTTCTTGATTCAACGTGGCCGTAAATCCTGGTTTCATTTCGTCTTCTTATATATTATTTTAAGATAAGAAGTATACACTCCCTGTGACGTTTTGAGATCCGACCAATCAGCGCTGTGGGAATCTCTCTCGCTCTCTCACTCACTGGCATGGACGCGCTCAGTGCGCGTACACGTGCAAGCTAGCAGTTAGCCAGCGTTAGCTTCCATGTAGCCGTAGCTTGTTGAATCGTTTTTCTCACAGGGCACAGTTTGTGCCATGAAGACACCGCCACTGTCTGTCTGTCTCTGGGTCTCCGTGAATGAGAACCTCTGCTGCTGGTGCTGTTTCTCCGGCAGCGCGTGACTGAGACACGGAACCAGACACTTGTCTGAAAACAATGATAAGTTTTAGCTAGCGCCAACAGCAGACATGAAGCTACAGTTTCTTTTCTGGGGAAGCGGTTGCTCCACTGGCTGTCAGTAGCTTCCACCACCGGAGGCTCTGTGGATTTTTACCGACACTGTTGTTTTTCTGTGACTGGACGCCGTAGACGGCTATGAGGCCAACTGGACAACCGAGACTAGCTGTAACCGGTGGTGGCTTTTAACTGTAGAAACGTCCCTCTGCACTGTGAGTAAATTTACCTAAGATGCTAACCCGAGTTAGCACGAGCTAATGACTAAACTAAACTAACGCACAGTCGAGGAACATTACCGAAGCTAACTTGTTTGTTTTTTAAGGTAACGCCACACAGTGATATTTTATGTTAGACCTGCGGGAAACGACCGTCTGTCAGTCGGGTTTTAATTCCCCAGACACGGTTGTCGGTTTTAATAAACACCGATGTGACTAAGACTGTTGTTGGTGAAGCAGGATACACTTTCCTACTGAACTGCGGCCTCACGAGCTAGGCTAAACTGTGTGTGTGTGTGTGTTAGCCTGCTAATGTCAGTCCAAAAAAACTACAGCGAAAACGAGAATTACCTCTGAAACATTAACATTAGGTGAATTTAGTTGTCATTGACGAGGCCTGGAGCTCAGCCGCTCAGACTGGCGGGCGAATAGAAAGTTGGGATTTGTGCATTTTACAAGTGTTTGTGTGAAAAATTCTCTAGTTTTGTGTCACGCTATTAAACCTAGTAGAATTATTGGACGAGCACTGATCATAAATGGTACATAATAACAGAAAAGGGCAATGTCGGCCACAAGTGAAGCCACGGAAGTTAGCCGGAAGTGCTTCATTGGTTTTGAGAAGTGTACGTAAAACCAGCTTTCTGGACGACGTGATACCAGGCGGACCAGGTGTCGCCCCAGGTGATGTTTATCACGTCGTTGCTTCACTGACAACATGTCAGACATCTATGATCAAGAACAGACAAAAGTGTCACTCACAACAACAGCAGTAACATCAGTCCGATGGTATGGACTAGTGTAGTGACACCAGGGACCACAGCAGCATTATCAACAGTAAACAGAAGACTGTATCAATGAACTTATTGATAGGTGACAGCCTCAGTTTGATTAGTATTAGTTCAAGGTACAAATGTCGTAAACACTTATTTTTGTTAAACTTTTCAGGGATTCTCTTTCAAAAAATTTTTATTATTTTTTTAATTTTGTGATGTGACAGATGTTACTTAGTGAGTCAGAAAATTGAAATGCATGCGTCTGTCATTCTCTAAAGTAGATTTAATTATGAAAAATTCCATCCTGGTCTTGAGCAATAGAAAGTTGCCACTTGGTATTTATTATTTTATTTTATTTTTTTTACAGATGAATGTTTTTTCATACAGCCACTGCGTTACCAATGTGCCAAAAAGTCAACCCTCTGATCACCCGACAAGGACTAGTCTACAGTGCGGCAGCGTCTGTGCGAGGAGGGAGCACAAAGTGGTCCAGGAATATGCGCGGATCCTTGAGGTCAACTGAAGAAAACCTATCCAAGACTCAGAACTGTCCTTGATGACACGCTCTTGGTCAGACTGCCATCCCAAATGGAAGTGCCATCATAGACACGCAGTACTGTGGCTCGAACTGCTGCACAGTCACTGGAGCTGCACAGTTGGAAGAAGTATTTCAGCCCTCGGTTGGACCTGATGGTGGACATGGGTTCCCAGGCTCTTCAGATATTGCGACAGGGTGTGTGGGCCTCACTGACTGGAGGCTGGTATGTGGACCCCCATCAGAGCACCTTCTCCAATTGTTTTCACCTCTACCTTTGGATATTTCTTCTGGCCTTCCCTTTTCTGCTATACATGGTAAGAAACGTTCACAGCAAGTCATGATGAGTGATTGAGTCCATGGTATTTTAATCTGTGAGTTTGAATTAATTTGGGCAAAATCACCTCTTCAGAATAACTAATAATAATTACACTTTTCTTAGTTGTGACAATCTGATATCACAGATGCACTCCAGTCCATATAAGTACATATTAATGTACCTCAAAGTTGTCAGCCAACCACTGAGAAGATGCACAGGATGCCGTCAGTAATGCCCCTTTCCCCGGGTTGTTGGACAAAAAATTGTTTTTAACCTCAAAATGTCAGCTTCGATAAGAGCACGGTTGAGAGCCAGTTGCGCAACAAGGAGTTTTCTTATCACTGCAGCACATAAAGCCTATAGAGTATTTCCTCAGTGTAGAACATGCTGCTGACAGCAAATGGTGCAGCCGCATGTTTTTATTAGTTTGTTAATTTAATTGACAAATCATGCATCAACTTAAAACTAAATTTGTTTTAAATAAACTTTCCTACTTTGTCAAATACCAATGATAATCCCATCATTTACATAGCCTTTTATTTAAAATAATTAAATGCTTTAGATCTTGTTACCCACTGATGTTTTTAATTTTCTCCCCCTCTCCCCCGTCAGGCTCTCCCCCCCAGCCTGTTGGTGGCAGGGGTGTATTCTGCCGTGGTAGCCGTCTTTTTCACAGCCATTAAAGTGGTAAACTTCAGGCTTCATGCCATGTTCGACCTCGGGGAGATCATAGAGAAGAAACAGGCCTCGCTCACTGCCGACGCTCCAAGAACAGAAGACGGAGACGAAGGTTCAGGTGTTCATGACGGGAATCAGCACAGGTACCTCAGACTGTTTGACCTCAATGTCTCCTCTTTGTCATTGTCTTTTTTCCCCCCATTATTCATGTTGTCCTATATTCTGAATGCCAGTGTGAAAAAGATGTAACAGAATAATATGCAGATTTTGTTGTTTTTCTTCACAGGGACAGTCATGTTGGACCGATTTTGTTGTTTGTTTTTTTTTCTTCACAGGGACAGTCATGTTGGTGTAGAAATGACGGTGTTTCGAAAAGTCAACTCAACACCACCTGTGCGCTGTAGCTCCCAGCATTCTTTGTTTGGGTTGAACCAGGTGTCGGTAAGTCTTCCCATATGTGCTATATATATTTATATACATGTGAGTGTATATATATTTGTATATATATGTATATATGTATATATATTTGTATATATATGTGTATATATTTGTATATATGTGTGTGTATATATTTGTATATATGTATATATATTTGTATGCATATATGTATATATTTGTATATGTACGTATATACTGTATGTCTGTGTATATGTTTGTATATTTTAAAAGCAAATGGAAAATAATAAAAAACCTAAACTAAGAAAATGATCAATTTTTCTTTGGGTTCGGTGATGGTTGATGGTTTCAACTGTAAAAATTCATATTTTCCTTTTTTAAACACATCTGTTCTGTAAAGTCTGAGCCTTCAGGGGCCAAAGTTGGCCCGAGTGTCATCTGACTTAACAGAGTCGTGTCCACTCTTGCCAGTGGATGAAACCAAGTTATTCCACTGCTGATTGTCTTCACTGACTCTCCAGGAAAAAAAAAAAGAGACCAATAAATGTCTATGTCACTGCATAAACATCATGTAGACGCTGCTGCCAGATGGACAAGGAAAGCAGTCCATGGTCCAGACCTGCTGTTATATGATGTATTCTGAACCTTCACTTGTGTTGTCCTTTTTTAGGAGTTCCTGCCTCAGCTGGAGGATTCAGGGGGCACTAAGGGTAGGTGTCGGGGTCTTTCCCGTCAGGCCGTTGTGAATTATCTTTGCTCTAACGCACGACTTGTTTTTCCTCAGATATCAAAGAGTTAATGCGGGAACAAGGAAGCAGTAATGTGATTGTTACATCAGCTCACCGTGAGATCCTGCGTCAGACCTCACTGGACGCCATCCGTAAGTTTCCTGGTTTCCACTGACGAGCTGTTGTTCTGCAAAATAAATTGAAGACAAGCTGTTGTTCTGCAAAATAAATTGAAGCTCATTTGAAATTCTTCTCCTGTCGTCCGCCTCTCACTGTCCAGGGGGCGCCAGTGTCATCCAGTCCTGTCTACCTGTTGGTCTTGGAGGGGATTTCTCCGGTCTTATTGGTGTACCTGGAGCATCATCTGGGTTTGGAGAACCACCAGAATGTGTGTCCATCCCTCCTTCACCCTCCAGTCAGGAGGACGGAGGCGAGAAAGAACACTTCCAGGAAGTGGAGCAGTTGCCAGGGCAAATGTCTTTGAGGAACCCTTTGGACGATGGGTTGGGGGCTTATTCTCCTCTCTGTCCTTCTGCTGAATCTGAGAGCCTGGGGGACACGCCCCTCAGCCCGCTTATAAAGAGCAGTTTGAGTGAAGAGCTGAGTGAAAATCTCCTAGGACTCGGCCTTGACCCTGTGGCGTTTGCTCCTGGGACTGAACACCCGGGCAGCCGCAGCGGCGTGGCACTGACGGCCGGATCCACCGACAGTTGTTTCAGTGGGGGGGGCGCCACCACGGACCGCGAGACGCTGAGTACAGTTAGCAGCTATCGCAGTGAGAAGACAGACTCTACGCAACTGGAGAGCCCTTCGTTGAGCCACTCGCAGCCCGCTGACGGACAGCCGTCGGCCTCGGCGAAAACTAAAGGGCCGAACGCCTCCGAGTCGAGAGAAGACCCTTCTGGACAGGGTGGGAGCGACACAGACAACCTGTCAGACAGTGTGTTGCTACGTTCACCTTCCAAAGACGTTTCTTTCAGCCAGGGGCTGGACAGGACACTTGTTGAAGACGAGGATTTGACCCCAGTACCTTCTGACGTTGCACAGCCCCCTCCTCCTCCTCCTCTTCAGAACTCGTCCCCTTCAAGTAGTGGCCAATCAGAGGTTTGTGATTTAGACAAAAGCGTCCCACTCCCCCCTCTCCCCCCGCCGCGGCAGGCCAACTCCGTGCCCTCAGGGCTGGCCCTGGGTCTAGTTTGTTCCGAGCCGGCCTTGCCCATATCCTCGACCCCGTTCCTGTTGTCCGACCAGCCCGCTCTACAAGCCCAGCAGGTTGTCCGCCCCAAAGACTTGAAGCTGCTGCGGGCCAGTGGCAGTAGCGTGGGCCACAGACCGGGCCGCAGGAAAGCTCCACGGAGGCGGGCCGGAGCGGGGAGCAGCAGTTTCGACTGCGGCTCTTACAGGCGTCACCACAATCACAGGCAGCACAGAGATTACATCCCGGTGCGAAGCCGACTGGGCGCCAAGGCCTACAGTGAAAGTCTGTTTGAGGATTCTAGTGATGAAGATGACGGCAGTGACATGAGCGCCGGGTCCAGTCTGGGCTCTCAGCGCCGATACAGTTCAGATGACGACGATGACGACTCCAGTTCCTCTACCTCCTGCTACTCCCCAGACCTCGCTAACACTGGCATAACTGCCCCACACCCTGCTGCTGCTGCTGCTGCCCAACCACCCACCCCAGGGGAAGGGGATTTATCAGAAACTGCTGGGCCCTCTCATTCTCGTGCTGCTCAGCGCTCTTCTAGCACCGCTAGCGCAAAGACTCACGCCAGAGTGTTAAGTATGGATGGAGCAGGTGGAGGCCAGGGCAACGCTGCAGCTCAGCCTTCTACCCTGCTCTCCATGCCCTCCACCTCCACCCCCGCGCCTCGAACTCTCACCGTCTCAAAGTCTGATCTGGAAGCCCGCACTCTTCATAACGACGTTTTTCCTGGAACTCTTCATCATCGGCTGGATTCTCTAGGGGGCTCCTGGACGGGCAACCAGATGGGCTGGAGGGCAGGAGAGCTGGTTGAAGAGGGAGCTGTGGGCGGAGGTAAGGCGGGCTATTAAGAGATGTCGTGAGAAATGGCTGTGAATTTTTTTCATCGGAAGAAAAATAGTGTTCTTGAATCCAAGGGTCACGTAGGTTCACCTTTTGTATGTTGTTGTTGTTGTGTAGCTGTAGTCCCAGTGTGATCCTAGTCTGAGACTCTGTTCCATCTGAACATCAGTTCCTAACACTGGAACAGAGGGATCTACATTTGGAATCACTAGAAAAAGAACATGAACCAAGTCTAAGTCCCGTCAGACGAGCTGTTCAAACGTAGACAGTGCAGTCGCTGAAACTGCTTCATCAGCAGTTTTTAAAGTGAAACAGTCATTACCCTGATATGGATTTCACTGATAATAAACAACAACGTCAGGTTTGTTTAGCTCCTGCAGTTCTTCTGTAACAGGAAACTGTGAAGCAGCCACAAAAAAAAAAAAAAAAAAATCACACCAGCGCAATTAGCACAAATTCAAAGACGCCTGATTCTGATTCCTGTGAATGGAAACACTCCTCCTCACAGCAAATGTTTCAGACAGACGTTATGTGTTTGTTATGGTTGTTGTGCTAACACAAACGGGACCGTGTGTGTGCGTGTGCAGAACACGGTGCTGTAACGTAAACCACCAATAACCTCTTTTACAGCCTTGGTCCCAGAGGACGGAAGTAAACTGGACTCAGTGCGAAGTGTGAAGAGGACGCAGGCCATACGCAGGAGACACAACGCTGGAAGCAACCCTACACCGCCCCCCTCCACCATGGGATCTCCTCCCAGGTCGGTCCACCACACAAACCTGAGAACAGACCCCCCCCCTTACCTAGTTTGAGTGTTTAGAAGTTCTGCAGCAACATCAACAGGAATTGTAGTCAGGAA